ACTTTGAAAAAGTAAAACCCTGCCAGACTAAATACTGTACAGCAAGCATGTGATATTTAGACAAAAATAGACATGCCAATTGAAGGGAAATAATCTGAAATATCTTCTAGTATTTATAAAAATACATGACTCTTAACGTAATTTCATAAGTCAGAGAATAATACCATTTATTTGAAATTATTATAGAATCTGGGTTTACCAATTCACATTTTGCCAGAAGATAAATAATTTATTGATCCTGCATTATCTCGACTATCACACTTATCATGAATTATCAGTAGGAATTATATACCTTAAGTGATAACAGCAAACTATAAACAAGGTTTACTTTATTTCAATTACCTGGAATTGTGTGTCAAATAGAAGTGGGCGAAATGAGGAAGGCTTGTGGTCTTGGGAGTCTAATACCTCCCTCTGCCTAAATACAATTTTTAATTCCAGTTAAGAAAATGCCTGCCACAATGGGTTTAGATACAACCCACATACTAGAAGAAGAGAAATTAAAACTCTCTGTCATGGCCCAGTGAGATGGTGGTGGTGGCGTGCCATGGAGTCTGTTCTGACACATAGAGATCCTGTATAGGATTTTCAAAGCTGTAAATCTTTACAGAAGCAGAAAGTCTCATCTTTCTCCCAAAGAACCGCTGGTAGATTTGAACTACTGACCTTGAGATTAGCAACCCAACTTGTAAACACTTTGCTACTAGAGCACCTTTGGCCCAATGTTGTTGTTGTTGTTAAGTGCCGTCGAGTCGATTCCGACCCATAGCAACCCTGTATAGGGTTTCCAAGGAACAACTGGTGAGCTTGAACCACTGACGTTGCAGTTCCAACAACTTTGCAGTCTGACGAATTAGCCCACAGCACCACACCAGGACTCCTAATGTAGATAGGTGTAAAGCAGTGACAAAACACATGTGTAAACTTTTAAAACAAGTGATTGAGTCCTACCATATATTTGGCACAATAAGGTTTCTGGATTCTTGTTTAGTATTCATGTCTTTGAAGGAAGCAAAAGAAAAATAGAGAGAGTGGAACAAAAACTTTCATTTACTTTTTTTTCATGATGCTAGACATTTTGACTAAAAGAACTTGAGTTGGGACATTAGTCCAACCCATATATAAAAAACACAGTATATAAATTACAATTTAAATACAGAATATAAAACATTAACATTTGAAAAAATATTTACCTGATTTTGAGTGAATAAGTATTTGGTACAAATCCAAAGAGAAAAGACAAATAACTAAAATTACATGTAAATGTTAAACTGCTCAATACTAAAACTTAATTCAAATTTTTAAGAAAATAGAAACCATACATATTTGAGCAAATAATTATAAGGAAAGGGTCAATTTTGTCTTAATTCCAAGACTGCCCCAATATTTCCACCTGCATTCAAAAACTGCTAACCTATTAATTAATCTGGAACAATAAAATGAGATTTAAAAAATAGATTTGTCCCTAATTCTTAGGTGAAAAAAGTGAGATTGATAGAGTATCAAATAAAGCAGAAGGTTCAGAGTCAAATATATACAGATCAGCTGATGATTTAAATGGACCTTAAGTTGCTAATGTTCTTCTAATTAATTCTTACCAGTTTCTCCTTCATTGCTCTCCACTCTCATGCACTATGCTATCTACTCAATTGGTTCATATTCCACATTGGTTACAAGGAAAGGTGTAGTGAGAAGTGCTGTTCGAATAAATAATGGTGTTATTGATATTTGATATTATTAAAACACTATAATTCATCCTTTTATGGAATATTTAATGACATTGGAAAATGTTTACTCTAAACAAAATGTTGTAGATAAGTGCCATGGAGTTGGTTTCAACTCATAAGGATGACTGAACAAAATAACAGAATTTTAAAAGATTGCTAAAGTGTCCTCTCAACTTTGAAATGTACATATATAGACTAAATTTAATTATTTCACATATTTATATTTAATGCATAGATAAAGTTATAAAGACATGAATAAAATCCTTACACTGATTCTGGAATGTGAGTTTGCATTTTTACAATATTCTACATGAGTGCGTATTTGGAGCTCTGGTAGCATAGTGGTTACAAATCAGGCTGCTAACCTCAAGGTCAGCAGTTCGAAACTGCCAGTGGTTCCACGGGAGAAAGATGAGGCTTTCTGCTCCTGTAAAGATTTACAGCCTCGGAAACCCTGTAGAGGGTTGCTATGGGGTCAAAGGCACTTAACAACAACAACAACAATATATTTGGATAATAAAAATTTTGGTGCTAGACTGGTTTTGATTCTTGTCCCACCAAGTTGTTGGTGTCTTCTGTGCATCAGTTTCCTCATTTAAAAAGACAGTGACAACATCTGCATATGAGGATTATGACATTGTTATTTGGTCTGCAACAAATATGAAGTGGATTGAAGCAAAAATGAAAAAGCTGGGAATGAGCATAAATGCAAACTACAAGATTACCTTTATGTTAGACAGTGCTGCTATGATAACAGTGCACACTCCAAGGAGGGATTAATAGATGTAAAACCTCTTGGTGTTATATGGGGAAATTTTTCAGAGTTTTACAGCAAAAAAAAACAAAAACAATTATGTTTGATGATATAGGAAGAAATTTTCTAGTGAACCCATAGAATGGATTAAAGATACGGCCTTTTATGAAAGCACACCTCAATCGAGATAAAGACAAAGAACTTTTAAAATTAATATAGTACCTCAAGGAAACAGCAAAATTAGATGACTTTTTGGAGCTAAACCACAAATATTGGGAAAGATATCTCTCAAAGAAGCAAGGACAGTAATTATAAGTTATACTGGAAGTTATTGATGATACTTGAGATCCACGAACTTCTTTCTTGATTTATGCTAGAAATCATTATGATAGTGCTGGACACTGAAGCAAATATCAGACTGCTTATACTTTGTCTTCCAGTTTTTTGTAAATTTAATTTTATATTTTTTGAATATCATAGCAATATGCTTTAAAAAGAATCCATTTTTTCCTATATGTATATACTGTTACTTTTGAAAAAATTTCTCTCCATCATTGATTACAGAGTCTCCCTTCCAATAAAAAGATGGAGAAAAACGTATGCTCAACAATCTTATTTTGTAATTTTTGAAACAAAATATGTCTTGTGTCTTGTCTTGTGGTTTGCCTCAATAACTCTAAGACCAAACACATCTTGAAAATAGTTTTTTCCCTTTAAAGCAAAAAACCCCAGAAAACCTACCAGTTTTTGGAAAATGGACCTAGTATTTAGGTATGTTTAAATTACCCAAGAATTTTTTATTCATTTGTCATAATTTCTCATCTGTACTCCGCTACTTAGATCTCTAAATTCTGAGCTGTCTCTGGTCTGTATGTGTGACAGTATTTTTTGAGTAAAACTGGAAAACATCAGCTGTGGTACAGATATGTCATAGTATGAGAAATACAAAAGATTAAAGAATCAAAAAAGGAGCAAGAGTATGTCTTTCTTTGGTGTCATAACTTGAAGCATTGCTGCCTAAAAGCATTGTTATAAAAGCAATTAAAGGCAGTCCATTTGAAAGTGGAACATAGCATTGTTTCAGCTCTAAAAAGCATGAACAAAGGTTTTTGTTCTTTTCCAGCTACATTTGTCTAAGTGCAAACACTGTGTTTCAGTAAAAATATTGCCATAGGATTAAAAAAAAAATTTTTTTTTGCATTGCTTGCGCCTGCATTATAGATAATGTAATTTAACTACTGCTTTGTGTTGACAGTATTGCTTTATACAGTTATTGTATTTGAAAGGAATTTGATCCTTTCAAATAAACGTGGTATATATTGTTCTTATGGGACTATTTCAGTGGTGTAAATAATAAATACCTTTTCTTTAAAAAAAATAAAATAAAATAAAAAAGATGGTGACTAAAATAGTGAATGGCATAGAGTACATTGTGTAGCCCTGATGGCAGAGAGGTTAAACACTTGGCTGTTAACCAAGGTATGAGTAGTTCGAAGCCCCAGCCACTCAACAGCAAAGATGTAGAAGTGTGGTTCTATGAAGATTTACAGTTCAACTCTAACCTTTGGAATCTTGGTGTAGCGCTGTTAATGCGCTGAACTGCAAAGTCAGTTTGAACCACAGGTCGGCTGTTCTAGCTCCCCAGCTGCTCCTCAGAAACCCTATACAGGGTCACTATGAGTCAGAACCAACTCGACTGCACTTAACAACAACAACTCTTATAGATTTACTATGAATCAAAATCAAGTGTATGGAAAGTAGGTTTGGGTTTTTTGGTTTTCGGTTTTATTCTATTTTGTTTTGTCTTGATTTGGTTTGTTTTTCTTTACATTTCAGCTTTCATTATTATTGTTACTGTAATATATGGGAAAACTGGAGTTAAAAGATAATGGAACTTTTTCATGAACATTTTAAAGCCTCCTCACAGAATGTTATTGCCACATGTTTCTATGAGAAAAACTGTTTCTTGAATACTATATGGCAGGTCTACTTTTATGGGTGTGAAGTCAGAATCAACTCAGTAGCAACCAGTTTTAGCCAAAATAAAAACCTGGGTCTTTGGAAAAGAAGCGTCTTTCTATTCATAAGCCTGTTCCATTTTGACACCTATACAATGGAGATTTTATCTTTTTCAAATAAATATTAGTTTATTTGCTTTGTAGACTTTTAAAAATGAAAATGCATACTCATATATAATGTTATTCTAATAATTAGACAGTTAACAGTTTAATCAATTAAAATATTTATGTAATCAAATTAATGTTTACTTACTCAAATTAAAATTAAATATAATCACTTCGCAAATTGAGAATATATATGTTTTCACATAGTCCAAGCTAATAAAATAACCTCTGTACCTATATTGTCATCAACATTGCTTTGTAAGATATGGACAAGACATTTTTGTCACATGTACACATATATTTGATATTATAACTTAGTAGCACAAGGACAGTTAGAACTCTCAGAAAACAAATTTTACCCACAAACCACTGGTTTTAAAGATCTCATTGAGAGAATCATTTCCTGTATAGTATTTTTTTCACAGCATCTTTCACATCTCTGTTTCTCAGACTATATATTAGAGGATTGAGCATTGGTATTATAAGTGTGTAGAACACAGCAATGATCTTGTTTTGCTGGGGAGAGGAGATGGCCCCAGGTTGAGCATACATAAAGAACACGGTCCCATAGAATAAACTCACCACAGCTATATGGGAACCACAGGTAGAGAAGGTCTTACTCCTGCCCTGTGTGGAGGGGATCTTTAGGACAGTAGAGAGGATATAAATATAGGATATCAGAATGACCATTGTGGTCACAATAATAATGAGAGATGAGAAAATAAAGAGAACAATTTCATTTACATAAGTGTCAACACATGAAATCTCAATCAGGGCTGGGACATCACAGAAAAAGTGGTCCAGTCTGTTTTCACCACAGAAATGCAAACTGAAAGTGAAACTTGTTTGAACTATGGAGTTGATGCCTCCACAGATATATGAACCACTTACCAACTGAACACAGACCTTCTGGGACATGTGCATAGGGTAAAGAAGAGGTGAGCAAATGGCTGAGAATCGATCAAATGCCATCACAGCCAGAAGAAAGCCTTCTGTGGTGACAAAGAGGGCAAAAAAAAAAAATTGGGCAGCACAGCCATTATAAGAAATTTTCTTTTCATTAGACAAGAAGTTTGTTAAAGTTTTGGGAGTAATGACTGTGGAGTAGCAGAGATCTAAATAGGACAAGTTTCTGAGGAAGAAATACATAGGAGTGTGAAGTCTGGAGTCCACTTTAATGATAATTATCATACTGATATTTCCGACCACAGTGATCATGTAGATTAGCAAGAATATAAAAAATAAGAGTATCTGTAGCTCTGGAGGGGTTCTGAATCCCAGTAAAATAAACTCAGTCACCTCTGAGTAATTCCTAGTCAGCTCCCAACTCATGGCTGAGGTGTAAGTGAAACTGGACAGAAAAAGAAGGAAAGAAAATAGTAACCAGAATATATATATATTTTTTTTTTTTAAGTAAAAACACTTTTTTAAGCAAAAAAAAAATATTTTTTTGCTTCATTATATTGTTCCCAATATTTTCCAAAACAGCAGACAACATAACAACTAGATAATTATATAAACAAGTTTTCCTAGTAGTTCAGTTTGATTGCTTAGCCATTAAATAAGATTACGTTTGTTTGTAAATTATGTAGATTAGCCCTCTATTTGTGTTCTGGGAAAATACAGATTCTGGGGAAATATTTGAAACCAATAATTGTATTTGATATCTTGATTCATTATCAAGAAATTGTTGAGTTTGGGCTCAACTGACAATATTATTTTCTGTTAAAAAAATTACTTCTAAATTCCTACTTTTAGCTTCTCAAACAGTCCTGGTGTAAGTAGTGCTGTATGATAAGCAATGGACCACAAGGTTGGTTTGAACCACAAGATCATTGGTTCAAGCTCACCAGTCACTCCTTGGAAACCCTGTGCTGGATCTCTATGAGTCCGAATAGCACTTAGCAACAACAACAACAACAACAACAACAGCCTTTCAAACTGTGAGAGAGTCAATTCCTGTTTGTTAAAAGCCAAAAAAAAATTAATTATTTTAGTATACTTTATCTGTTCTGTAGTAGTAGTTAAGTGCCGTCAAGACGATTCCAACCCATAGCGACCCTGTGTAGGATTTCCAAGGAGCAGCTGGTGAGCTTGAACCACCAACCTTGCAGTTCAAACGACTCTGCAGTCTGACACATTAGCCCACAGTGCCACACCAAGATTCCCTTTATCTGTTATAGGAAAATAAAATATAATGGTTTTATCTGTCTTTTGTATCATAGGATGGCACCAGTCATTATAATAAGTTATCCTGATAACCCACAGTTTTGCCTTGTTATGCTTTCACCTCATATCTTTGCTTCTTCCATTATTGTTGTTCCTATGGTTGTATGAATTCTGGTGTTATGGTGATTAAGCACTTGGCTGCAACTGACAAGTTAGTGGTTCCAACTCTCCAGTGCTCTGTTGGAGAAAGGTACAGCAATTTGTTCCCGTTAAAGGCTAAAGAGTTAGTGAAGCTATTGAAGGGCATTGGAAACACAATGGAGCTTTTCTACTCTGGTCTATGGGGTTGCTAAGACTCAGAATCTACTCTACAGCAAGACATTTTGTTTTGTTTTTATTTGTTTGTTTTTGGTTTTGTGGAGTCCTGGTGTGGCACTGTAGGGTAAGTATGGGACTGCAAGGTAGGTTTGAAAAGCCAGGTCAGCAGCTCAAATTCACTAGCCATCCCTCAGAAACCCTATACAGGGTTGCTCTGAATCAAAGCAGACTCAACAGCACTAAACAACAACAACAGTCTTAGTGCCACAGTTTAAGAGCAAAAAGCAGAAGTGATTCTTGATTACATACACAGAACTGGATGAAATGACGCTTCTATCGTCTTCTTTTCTACAGTTCTTTTGTTTTTCCCTCTTTCATTTTCATCCCTTTTGGATTTTTCAAATTGGTTTGCAAATAGAAGTGTTTAAGACTTCTGTCAGAGTCTTCTATCTTTCCAGACACATTGTTGTTGTTAAGTGTCATCGAGTCAGTTCCAACTCATAGTGATCCTGTATGAGATTTTCAAAGAGCGGCTGATAAGTTTGAACTGCCGGCCAAATCTCTATGCTTATGAATAAGCAGAAGGTATACAGGACAATTTGAAGATAGCTATGAAATTAAAATATAATAAATATGTATTTATACAAGGTTGAATTAAATTATATGGTATATGCTAATACTTAAGACTATAAAATGGTCTTAAATAATGCAATAGAAAGGTAATGAAAGAAATTAAGTTTTTATTTTAATGTTTTGACTGGAGATACTAAGAAAATAGATTTAAAACTATAAGAATCATTACATTGATCACTATACTAATTTACTATTCAATACTTACCCATTAAATGTAGAAAGAAAAAGAACAAAAACTGACAAATTATAAAGTTAACAATTCTCATATACTATAAAATATCATATTGCAATTTTTGTTGTTATTATGACTTCATCAGTGTTTTCCCACTATTTTAATGGAGTTTGGATCCATGGAAGTGTAATAAAATCAATTTTTTCCAGTTGTAAATTCTACTTTTTGAAAAAATTAAGTTTAACATAGATATTGATTGATTCTAAAAGGCAGGTGAGTGATCAAAATAACCTTGGACAAATTCTATCAACCACTAAACAGTATATTTTACATTAAAAGTTTCTGATTTGAACACAGCAAGTGAAACAAAAAGGAAAAATGTAGCTAATGTAATCTAAAAGAAAAAGGGCAGAGTATTATCAGCAGGCAACTAACTATAAGATAGTATCAAAAATGAAAGCTACCTCTTATGTTATTAAATACCTTCTTATAGGTGAAGTCAAATACATATATGAAAAAAATATATGAAAGGAAAAAAAGCAAACCTATGTTTAAAAGGAAGTCTTGTTGATATAAGTATTGCATTTCCTTACTGTCCAGATCATGTTTCAATTTGCTGAGATGAACAATTACTAGTAAAAAATTGCAGCTTATCTCTTATTTTTTATTTTTAGTTTACTGTACTTACTCATTGATTAAATCAACAAAAAAAGATGAGGCAGATCCTTAGAGAAATTCTCTCATGGGGAGAGAAACCAAAGTAGTGGGCATTCCCTCTATGAATATTCACCAAGGACTCAAGTTCCCTCCAGCCAATCAAGCATTTTGTATTATACTTCAGAAAGAAAAAATGAGACAGGAAACATTAATTAGTAAACTCATCACACATTTGGAAACTTAGAATGGTTCACAGGAAGATACCGACTCGATGGCACCAAACAAGAACAATTTATGGAAAAGAGTAATAATGCAAACACAGTGGAATAAGTACTCCATTCTTCTTTTATCATCATGATTTACACAGAGTTATTTACAAGTTTCATTTGGATTAATTACAACCCTTATTTTGAGTAATTAATTTATCTCTACTGTAAAAATAATATATTGTGGTTAGTCAGGATTCACTTAGGAACACAGAAACCATTCTAATCCAAATAGATCAAAATTCATATACAGAATAGGCTAAATAGTGAAGCTATTGAAAAAATCAAAAGTACCGTTATGACTCGTAGGTTAGAAACAGCAGTCTGTCAAACCAATATGAGAAGGCGATAATACAAAATTATCTCGGAAGCCCTGTAATTTCTTCAAGAGTAAGATTCACCCTGGGATTTGACTAGTAGGAGCTAGGACTGGTAGCACAGATCTAAAAACCTAAACAGAATGAAGGTTTAGTCATTAGGTCTCGATAAATGAGGATCCTGCAAATGAAGAAGTTAGTTTAAAAATTAATTGAGATGACCTCATGAAGAACAGGACATGCTTAAGCCAACTCAGATAGTTATCACAGGAACTTAGCAGATGTGACCCTGTAAGTAGAATGTTTGAGAAAAAGTATTTGTCGGGGACCTGCCTCGACATAGGGGTTCAGTTCACGAGGAGGAGATACCTGACGGCGGTAAAGATATATCAAGAATACACAGAAGGAGACAAAGAGACACTCCGAAACCAGAGTGAATGCTGGACTGGCATCAGGCAGATCTTGCATTGCAAACATCTCAGCCATGAAGGCTGTGATATCCTGCATAGTAAACATCTTAGCTAAACAGGCAGTATGGTTGCAAGGCTGGATTGTGCCCCCTGCATGCTGTAACGCACGCCTTGCCAGTCGTAATGCACCTGGATTCATTCTGCACCTTCCTTTTATTTAGGGGAGGAGCTTCACACCAAGCTGGGAGGGACTTAGGCAAGGTACAGCTAACATCAGTAATTTTCCAGACATTCAGGTAACTTTACATTGTACTTCGCTGCTTCGAATCCCAGGCCAGCAACTTGGTTTCTCAGGCTCAATTAACATATCTATAGCCCCTGATCTCAGGTGGGGGAAGGTGAGAGGTAAGGACAAAAGGCTTGGGCGGAGTCCCGCTGTTTCGGCTTCCTGAGCCAGGTTTTCAGGAACTTGACTGAATAACTAACACTTGGGAGAGATTCAGGGAGGATGGCTTTTTTGTATGTGGAACAAAGAACTGTGAAGTAGCTAAGATGTTTTTAGCTAATACTTTGGAGAAAGGCTTGACCTTGCAACCTTTAGTCTCGGCTTTAGGAAAATATCACATTTATCTGTGGATTATCAAGGGCTTCTTGTATTAAATTAATACATGTAACTGAATATTAAGATGAAAAACAATTTGCCATTGACTGCCAAGTGGCTAGATCTGTTACACTAGGGCCTATAGGTCCTCGAATCTCTGACCAGTCTTACACGGTCTGCAACAAGTATTGCCTCATTATTGCTTTTATAAAATATTTGCGAAGGATTATTGCCTTATTGTTTCTTTTCCCAAAAGATAGAATGTTTAAGAAGGATCAGTGCCTCATTGTTTCTTTTTTTCTAAAGATAGAATGTTTGAAGAAGCGTATTACCTTATTGTTACTTTGGCCAAAGAATGTTATCCTGTTGTCAAATAGATTCAGTATACATTCAATTGTAACTTAAACTATATAATGTGTAAGTATAATGTGTGGATCCACAATCAACACTCATGGAAGCAACAGTCAAGAAATCAAATGACATATTGCATTAGGAAAATCTGCTGCACAAGAACTCATAAAAGTACAAGCAAACATATCAGTTTGAGGATAAAAGTCATGGCATTTTCAAAAGCTTCAAATGTATGTGGAAGTCAGACAATGAATGAGGAAGACCATATAAGAATCAATGCTTTAAATTATGGTGTTGAAGAAAAATATTGAAAGTACCATAGACTTCCAGAAGAACAAACAAATCTGTGTTGGAAGGCATATATCCAGAATGCTTCTTATATACCAAGATGACAAGACTTCATATTTCATACATTGGACATGTTATCCAGGAGGGACC